CACCAGAGTTAAGTTTGGGTTTTTCAAAATGCTGACACACCGAGCTTAAAAGGTTCGCCATCACTGCATAAGTGGTAGGATATATATCTCTTACCTCCTGGCCATTTTTTTTATCAAGCCACTTAAATATGTTTAATAAATCTTAAAAAATTAGTACTTATCACCCCGCCAGTGTTGCTCAGTGGTTGAGCATTGACCTATGAACCAGGAGTTTATGGTTTGATTCCTGGTCAGGGCACATGCCAGGGTTGCTGGAAAGATTCTTGGTAGGGAGTTGTATGGGAGGCAGCCGATAAATGATTCTCTCATCATTGATGTTTCTCTCTCTCCTTCTCCCTTCCTTTATAAAATCAATAAAAATTAATATAATAATAATAATAAATGACTATTTATGCTATTTTTCTACTTTAGTATGAAGGCTGTAGAAGGGTAATTATATTCCAAATCATAATAAGTACAACTTTACATCAATGCATTTGGTATGAAGTTTTAACAATAACATTTGATTATCCATGACTAGTACCCTCTTCCATAGTGAAACAGGAATTTTGGGGTGAAAAAGACAGGTTTTAGGAAATTTTAGAAATTAAGAGGACCATGGAAGAAGCACAGGGCCGCAGAGCAGCAGAAAGTATATTTCCATAGAATAGGGAAGCTGAAAAACTGCAACAGGTACATTTCCATAGAATGAGGAAGCTGAAAATAGCAAAAGTTCTATATTTACAAGAAAAAGGGAAGGAAGTCCTTCATCCAGAAGGAGTTACTATAGTAACCAGTCTAAAAGAATAGTGACCAGAGGGGATACCAAGGCACCAGGATCTGCAGCCTTTATAAGCCATAGGGAAAAAGAACTCAGTGGGACTCTTTCCCTCCCCCCACATGGGAGTCTGTACTTGTTCTTCAATAAATCTCCACCTTTGCTATACTACCCTCTGTCCGTGGATTCATTCTTGACTCCGGCAGATGGATCCAGTCCAAAAATTCCATATTGACAGTTACCCCTACAAATGGAGAAGTATCTGCATACATTTTAGAGTCTCATAAGCTAGTTTCTAAGGCGATGGAAGCCAACTTTTTTTTTTTGGAGGGGAAATTATGGACATTAAGTGGTGCAAAGAATATAATGAAAATCTTTACTTTCCCTAAAGGAAAGGAGGTACAGCTAAGTGTTACCCCACCTCCTTTCTGGAGCATGTACACAAGATGAGGAGTCTTTAAAAAAAATCCAATTACCTAAAACAGAAGTAAAATTTCCTCATAAACTTGAAGGTGCTTATTCACATTTCAAGAACACACGCACATCCATGGTGGTCTCCACCCTGGTTACTCACAGTGGTCCAGGCCCAGCAGCAGCAGCACTTGGAGCTCAGCGGACATGGAACCTCAGATCAGCTGTGGTACTGAGCCTTGAATCCAGGGCTACAGCGCTCAGACACCTCTTCACCTTTAATAGAGCCCTTACCTGGTAGCTAGAGGGTTTGATTCAGGTTTGTTTAAGAACCTTTAAGTAGTTATATGCTTTAATGTTTTAAACAAAGAAAGAATATGAGAAACACAAAGCTATTTTTGCTTTCTTTAGAAGTTATTTCTATGTGAAACATTTGAAATTGTAAAAATATTCCACCGAGAGCATTTCTACTCAGACTGCTGTGTGTATGTGATGTTCAAAATATACTACAAAGAGAGAAATCAAATGTGTATATCATGAGTTCTACAGTATGAAATATGATTCAAATGACGGGACTGTGGGTATTTTAAAAAATAACCAGAATCTGGCTCCCAATCCACTGAAGGAATAGGGTAAACCTAGGGTAGAGGAGACACTATAATGAGCCATGATTTTCTGCAGAACTTAAACCTCAACTCCCCCCAGGAATTTTTCTGACATTCATAAAAGCTAAAACAACTCTGCATAGATTATCCTTGTTACAACAATATTATAAGTAGGTGAAAATATTTTAGTAAGGAAATGCAATCCTGACAGCACACTCACGCAAGAACTTTTTTAACAAGGCAGCACGCAATACAGAGAGCAAGCAAAAGCTGCATAAGTACATCAAGATGAGAAGGATTGAGAAGTTTAAGAAACATGTTTAATTTACTGTCTCTTCCTGATGTGAAGACACTTATACACACAGGTGCCAACTACTGCAACACCAAGATCTATAAGAAACCAGAAGACAAATGACATGTAACTCCAAAAACTAATACCAAGTTTCAAACCTAGCAGAAGAAATTACTGTTGGTTACATTTCAGTGGGCAGAAATATTATTTTATTTAAGCCCACATACATTCATATTCTATCTGGACTCTTCACTGTCTAAATGTAGTTCCCTAGAATCACTTAGGGTCTGCAGCAAGCCAGAAAAGTGTCTGTGCTTAATTTAGAATATTACTCAAAACATATTTGGGATATTTAGGATTTGTTACTAAGTGGACATATAGCATACAAAAGAAAATACAATCACCAATACAAGGTAGAGTATCATATAATGGGTAAGGTATTTCTAGACTGGGTTACTTAATTTTAAGCTATAAAAACTGTAGAAACTAAAAAAATAACTATAAATACACGTGTACACATTAATATTTTGATATAAGTGGCATCCAAGTTTGGGACACTTACCTACTGCAAGAACAATCACAGCAATGAGTCCTCCATCTGAGAAAAAAATAAAACCAGTTTGAAGGTAATTGAGCACACATGGGTCTCCACATAGTTGACACACTTTAATTTTGATCAGATCATCTATAAACTACAGCAAAGAAAATGTTCATCGGTCTAGTTTAGTGTGACTGCTAGTGCATCTGGCTCATTTTGATCACAGAGCCCTTCTAATCTGATTCCCGGCTTAGGGTCCAACTTGTGAAACTTTTAATAGGACCTCATTTGTCATTGTTTTGTGCTGTAGTAGCCCCACCACGTTATAAAAATTGGAATTATTATTAAAATTAGGAAATATTATTATAAAAATTAGAATGTACTACATTAGAGAAAATCATTTTAAGAAGGTATTTTCCCATTCCAGTTGGTTTAATTCAGTATTCAGTCTACTATTCCATGATTTTGTTAGAAATTTCATTTACATTGTTCCCCAAAAGTGAGTGTGGAATAAGTCATTAATGAAGTTCTATTAATTGATCACATCGACCTATTTTGCAGTTTTCACAAACAATACATTATTTTATCAATCCTTTCTCATGCAACCCCATCCCCAGATAAGACACAATTTTAATTACCAGGAATATTTTAAGAATGCAAATGAAACACCATGAATAAATTATGCATAGAAACTTAAACATGCATTTTTTACTGTCCAGAAAGCAATCTAATCTAATAATAGACAAACAGGGTAATTGTACCTTCGCTATGCCTCCCATTGGCTAATCAGTGTGATATGCAAATTAACCGCCAACAAAGATGGCGGTTAATTTGCATATGTAGGCTCCAAGCGGCCGAGCGAAGACTGAAGGCAAGCCGGAGCAGCGAAGATGGAAGACGGAAGGCGGCTCTGGCCAGAGCGAAGGCCTGGGTCCTGGGTGCCGGAGGAAAACCGGTGCCCGCAGCCAGGAGAAGGAAAGGCCTATTGCACGAATCTCTTCGTGCAACAGGCCTCTAGTAAATAATACTACAAAATCTTAAATCTTAGAAATGTTCGGTAGTACCTCTGCTCCCAAACTGCCATTATTTTTATGACATTTTTATAGGTCAAATTATACGTTGGCATGTTTACCTTTGCTCTTTTTATTTCATCAAAAACTTATCACGTGTTTAATGAATGAAGGTGCTTTGCATTTACTGGCACAGTGACAGTTTGACCACAGTGTTCAGAGGGGAAACTTAACCGGCCTAACGTGCATTTTATAAAAAGACAAACCTTATTAAACTAGCCTAATGTAAAGAAAAGTAATACATACTTTTCTTCACTCACTTATCAAAAATCCTTATATTTCATGTAACTGCCACAACCATACTTAATCCTTTCCTTCAACATATATTGTGTGAACTATGTGAGCCTATACAAAGTGTGATACACCAGCCTGTTATAAAAAAAATACTAACCAAACTTATTTTAATGCTTGTGTATACAAGGTATGAATAGAAAGAAAATTTATTTACAAATTGCCATTACAAAATAGCACTATCACATGGAAAGCAAGTTAGGTTTTATATATTTTAACCTACAAATAAACACAGCAATTGAGAAAGTTACCTCACCCCTACTAGGAATTTGATTTTGAGGAACCTCTGAAAAACTGTATTATCTGCATGTGTCTACACATACTAATACTTCCATTTGTCATGGTATCTGCACATAAAACGAACTACAAATGTCAATTATCAAATGACAGGCTGTTTCTTCCTGAACCACAGATAATTGAAATATGATATTTCCCTGGAGAACTCTAAGGTCCCACAATTGAGGGTTTTTAATAACCAAAATAATACCTCAGTCATCAGCTCTAGTTGGTGATTCATCATGGGCATGGAATCTCCTAGAACAACAACAACAAAAAAAATAACTTTAAAAAGAAGTAAAAAAATAGTAAAGCTTACAGATCCTAAATTCAAAGGTTTGGATTTTTTTTGCCTTCATATAAAATCTCTTATAATTTTATTTTCCTTATATAAATTATATTAATGTTTTTCATTTAAAGTAGTGTCATAAAATATTATAAATTTATATTCAGTCATCAGCATTCTTTTTCCTCTCCAGTAACATTTCCTGTGACAATATTCTGTGGTACAGAATGCAAATTTGTCATTACTGTAGACTCAATATTAGCCTATACATTAAATGAGATTCTACTTATAATTAAATGATACAGGAGGGCTTAATAAATGATTTAGAGGTTATTCTGTAATGCAGAGAAATTTCAGCATAATAAGGTCCATTTATGACAAACCAATAGCTAACATCATACTCGATGATGAAAGACTAAAAGTTTTCCCCTTAAGGTCGGGAACAAGACAGAAAGACCATGTTTGACATTTCTATTTAGCATAATATAAAAAGTTATAATCAGAGCATTTAGGAAAGGGAAAAAAAGCATCCAAATTGGGAAGGAAGGAATCAAATTACCTCTGTCCTAGATGACATGATAGTAAAGATTATGCACATACACATGCACACACACTCACCTGTTGGAACTAATAAATAAATTTGGCAAAGTTGCAGTTTTCAAAATCAACAAGTAAAAATCAGTTCCATTTCATTACACTAACAATGAGAAAACTAGAAAGAAAATGAAAATAATTCTATTTACTATAGAATCAAATTAGAGTGGCTCAGTTGGTTGGAGCATCGTCCCATACACCAAAAGGCTGTGGTTGGAATCCTGGTAAGATCTCATACCTAGTTTTCAGATTTGATCCCCAGTCAGAGCATATACAGGAGGGAGCCAATCCATGTCCTTCCTTTCTCTCTCTCTCTCTCTCTCTCCTCTCTCTCCCCTCCCCCGTTCCTCTCTAAAATCAATAAACATATCCTTGGTTGAGGATAAAAAAGAAGTAAAATACTTAAAGAAGAAACTTAACCAGGAGGTGGAACGCTCTGACACTGGAAATTATAAAACATTGCTGAAAGAAATAGAAGACAATATAAATAAATGAAAAGACATCCTGTGCTCATGCATTGGAAGAGATGATGTAGTTAAGATGTTAATGCTACGCAAAGAAACCTACAGACTGTATGCAATCCCATCACCATCTTGAATATGCTTTTTGCGGAAATAGAAAAATCCAAAATAAAATTCATATGGAACCTCAAGGGACTAGGGACAGCCAAGACAATCTTGAAATGGAAGAGTGAAGTTGAGAGAACTTAAATTTTCTGATTTTAAAACTTACTCAAAAGCTACAATAATCAAAATCACAGTGCTACAGGCATAAACACAGGCAGACCAGTTGAGTAGAATACAGAGACCACAAATAAACCTGTGCATATATAGTCAGATGATTGTAGGGAAGGGTGCTCAGAACATTTAATGGAGGAATGGTAATCTTTTCAACAAATGCTTCTTGGAAATCTGGGTATCTACAAATAAAAGAATGAAGGTGGATCCTTATCGTATGTCATATACAAAAATGAACGCAAAGTGGATCAAAGAACTACATATAAGAGCTAAAACTATAAGATGTACAGAAAAAAACACAGAGGACTAGCTTCATTATGTTGAATCTGACTATGATTTTTTGAGTGTGACACCAAAAGCAAAGGCAACAAAGGAAAAATAGATAAATTGGATGGACTTCAGCAAAATTAAAAACTTTATCAATGGTCATTATCAACAGAGTGAAAAGGCAATCCATAGAACAGGAAAAAATATCTGCAAATAATATATCTGAAAAGGGATTAATATCCAAAACACATAATGAACTCCTGAAACTTAGTGATAGAAAAAACCCAAATCAAAAATGTGCAAAAGACTTGAAGAGACATGTGTCCAAAGAAGATATACAAAACACCAATAAGTACATGAAAATATGATCACTAATTATTTGGAAATGAAAATAAAAACCACAGTGAGTTACTACTTCATATACATTATGATGACTAGTATATATAAAAAACACAACAAATATGTTCTCCCATGTAGTGGGCTTTCTTGTTGTTTTGTTGATGGTTTCTTTTGCTGTGCAGAAACTTTTTATTTTGATGTAGTCCCATTTGTTTATTTTCTCTTTAGTTTCCAATGCCCTAGGATCTGTATCGGTGAAGAAATTGCTTCGGCATAGGTCTGAGATTTTGTTGCCTTTGGATTCTTCTAGTATTTTTATGGTTTCCCGTCGTATATTTAAGTCCTTTATCCATTTTGAGTTTATTTTTGTGTATGGTGTAAGTTGGTGGTCTAGTTTCATTTTCTTGCATGTATCTGTCCAATTTTCCCAACACCATTTATTGAAGAGACTGTCTTGACTCCATTGTATGTTCTTGCCTCCTTTGTCAAAAATTAATTGAGCGTATTGGTTGGGGCTGATTTCTGGGCTCTCTATTCTATTCCATTGATCTATATGTCTGTTCTTGTGCCAGTACCAGGCAGTTTTGAGAACAGTGGCTTTGTAATACAGCTTGATATCTGGTATTGAGATCCCACCTACTTTCTTCTTTCTCAGGATCGCTGCAGCTATTCGGGGTCGTTTTTTGTTCCAGATGAATTTTTGGAGAGTTCGTTCTAGGTCTGTGAAATATGCCGTTGGTATTTTAATGGGAAGTGCGTTGAATTTATAGATTGCTTTGGGCAGTATGGACATTTTAATGATGTTGATTCTACCAATCCAAGAACATGGTATGTTCTTCCATCTCTTTATGTCTTCCTCTATCTCTTTTTTCAACGTCCTGTAGTTTTCTGAGTAGAGGTCTTTTACCTCTTTAGTTAAGTTTATTCCTAGGTAGCTTAATTTTTTTGGTGAGATGGTAAATGGGATTGCTTTTTTAGTCTCTCTTTCTGCAAGTTCACTATTGGTGTATAGAAATGCCATAGATTTCTTGGCGTTAATTCTGTATCCTGCTACATTGCCGAATTCTTTTATTAAGTCTAATAGTTTTTTGATGGAGTCTTTAGGGTTTTTTAAGTATAATATCATGTCATCTGCAAATAAGGACAGTTTTACTTCCTCTTTTCCAATTTGGATGCCTTTTATTTCTTCTTCTTGTCTAATTGCAATGGCTAATACTTCCAGTACTATGTCGAACAGGAATTTAAACAAAAAAAAAAAAAATTAAAAAAAAAACAAATTAAAAAAAAAACAAAAAAAAAAAAACAAAACACAACAAACCCAAGTATTGGTAAAGAGGTGGATAAATTGGAACCTTCGTGCCTCACTGGCGGGAACGTGAAATGGTGGTTCAGTTTATCTGAAAATGATTGCTATACATTTCTACACATAAGAAGTGCCAGAAAACAGAAATTTAGACACCTGTGTGGTGTATGTGTAAAGACCCAATGAGAACATAAATTGTATGTCATACGTCTGTCATGGAAATGAGTATGACATGCAGTTACTGTAAAAAACTGTTTCTTTTCAATTATTCCATATCATTGATATTTAATGTCAAAGAAATAAAATCTAAACAAAAAAGACACAAAAAGACCCCCTTTGTACCTTCAGTACATTTTGGGATCTTAGGCTCCCAACTACCGTCGGCTCCACAGACAATAGTGCGGCTGCCTACAAGGTAAAATCCCTCCTCGCATTGGAACGTAACCTCTGATTTGTACTGAAATTTTCCCTTTTCAAGTGTTGACACCAGTCTCCCATTCTCCAGCGCTGGATATTCACATGTGACCACTGAAAAGTGAAGAAATTCCAGAATTAATGGAAAGCTGTTTCAACAGGGGAAAGAAAAAACTAGTGCAAATTAGTAATTTCCCCTGGGTACAAAGAGGCAAGAAATGGAAGGCAGAATGTTAATGTAAAACAATACTTTATTTGTGCATTTTAATTCCAGGTAAACAGACATAGAGACATCTAATAACCTTTTCCCACCAAGAACAGACTGACCAATATACATTATTGGTTTCCTATAAGTTTTCCCATTACTGACATGTTTTGAGAAAGGTCTGATTACCACATACAATTTTGAGGTAAGTACAAAAGCAACTTTGGATGTTCTTTTAGCTCTAGGAATTTTTAAAATTTCAGGGGAACTTAGTACCCTGATCTTCTAAAAAGGCAGGAAAAAGGCCTTGTAATAAGGTAATGCTTGAGCTCAAAGGTAAAAAGTTGAAAATAAGCTAGCCATGCAAACATGCAGAAAGTTATCAGGTATCAACAACATGCAAGAACTGGAAACGTGCAAGAAATAGCAAGGCCAGTGAACTTAGGGCTGCGTTTTCCAAATATTTTGGACTGGAACTCAGAGATCAAACCTCACTTTTTAAAAATATATATTTTATTGATTTTTTACAGAGAGGAAGGGAGAGAGATAGAGAGTTAGAAACATCGATCAGCTGCCTCCTGCACACCTCCCACTGGGGTTGTGCCCGCAACCAAGGTACATGCCCTTGACCAGAATCAAACCTAGAACCCCTCAGTCCGCAGGCAGACGCTCCATCCACTGAGCCAAACCAGTTAGGGCCAAACCCCACATTTTACAATGTAACCTCCCAGGTCTGAGATAAAGTTAAAACTTCATAGTTAGTCTTGGTACCCATGTACTCAGGTATTCCCCATTCTGTTCTACTTCTTACAAAGTAAAGTGCTGGGTACGATCCTCTAGATTGATTTCAGGATCCGGCCATGCATTTCACAGAAATTGGAAAAATCCAAAACAAAACAAAACACTGGACTAGGCAGTACATGCAAGAAAACACCTTCTGAGATTAAATCTGAGCAATGCATAGGGCCCATAATGCACTGCTTTTCAACCAGAAGGGTGCTCTTCCTGCTCACACGGGGACCTGAATTTCCATCAGGATCTTGTCCCTTCAGCCTGAAGAACTTCCTTTAGCAATTCTTGTAGTGCAGGTCGGGTGGTGACAATCCTCTTAGCTTTTATCTCAAAATCTTTTTTTTTTAAATCCTCACCTGAGGATATGTTTTTGTTTGTTTGTTTTGTTTTAAAATTTAGACAGAGAAGAAGGGAGAGAAAGATACATTGATGTAATAGAGCAACATGGATCGGATGCCTGCATATGCACCTCAACAGGTGATCAAACCCACAACCTGGGTATGTGCCCTGACCAGAAATCAAACCCGCCACTGTTTGGTGAATGGGACAATGCTCAAGCCAACTGAATCACACTGGTCAGGTCTTCAAATATATTTTTTTAAATTTTACCTTCAGTTTTAATAAATTTCTCCTTAGTAGAGACTTTTGCTGCCTGTCTTATTTTTATTTCAGCACATTATCAGATATTTTTAAAAATTTATTTACCCTCCTAGGGTCACTGAATTTCCTGGACTTGTGGGTGGTTGTTTTGGATCAAATGTGGATAATTTTTGGACATTATTTATTCATATAACTCTTTATTGTTGTTTCTCCTCTTTTTCTGAAACTCCATTAACATGTATATTTGTCTGCTTGCCACTCTTTCCCAGGTTGCAAGTCTTTCCCTCTTAAAAAAATTGTTTTTCTTTCAAATCATGTTGGATTTCTATTGTTTTGACTTCCGGTTCACTGATCTTTTCTATGTTGTACTAAAATGCTCTAAATCATAGTAATAATTTTAAGTTAGGTTTACTGGATATAGTTTACATACAGTAAAACTCACCATTTTCAGTGTACAGCCTTATGAGGTTTAATACATGTAAACACTAATCATGTAATCACCACCACTATAGACATAGAAGCGTTTCATTATTCTCCAATGTTTCCTGTAATCAACTCTCCCCACAGCCACCTCCAACCACTTTCCCCAACCAGCCAACCATGCATCTGTTTTGTATCACTAGCATTTCTTTTCCCGAGTGTCATAATGGGATCACAGCCTCTGAGTATGGCTCATTTCACTTAGCATAATGCATTTGAGATTCATTTCTGTCATTTTGTGGATTAGAAGCTTATTCCTCTTTATTGGGGAGTATTATCTCATTATATGGATGCCCCATGGTTGTTCATTAACCAACTGAAAAATATGTGGCTATTTCCAATGTGGGGTGATTGTAACTAAGGCTGCTATGAATATTCTCCTATAGGTTTCTATGTGAACATGTTTTATTTTAGTTGGATTGCTGAGTTGTATGGAAGTATATGTTTATAAGAAATTGCCAAACAGTGTTCCAAAATGGACATACCACTTTGCATTCTTAACAGCTATATATGAGGGTTTCAATTGCTCCATATCATTGCCAGTAGATGATATTCTTAGGTGTTTTTTTTTTCTTGTTTTTATTTTCAGCCATTCTATAGGAGTTTAGTGATAGCTCATTGTGGTTTTGTTCTTTCTTTTTTTTTCAATCCTCACCTGAGGACATGTTGAGAGAGAGAGAGAGAGAGAGAGAGAGAGAGATCAATTGTCTTCTGCACTTGCCACAAACCCACAGCCCAGGTACATGCCCTGGCCTAGAATATAACCTGCAACCTTTTGGTGCACAAGACAAAGCTCCAACCAATAGAGCCATACTGGCCAGGGATTTGGCTTATTTTTTAAGACTCTTATAGCAGACCGGCAGGGACGCGCTCGCACAATCCTCGCCATCACCGAGCACCGTCGCCGTGGCACTAGAGACCAAGATGGCGGCATAGGAAAACACCGGAAATTGCTGCCTCCGACAACAACTTCAAAAATACAACTAAAAGACAGAACGGTCATCATCCAGAACCACAGGAAGGCTGGCTGAGTGGAAATTCTACAACTAGAAGGAAAGAGAAGAGCACACAGACTCAGAGGAGCTACGAAAGTAAAGTGCAGAGGTACGGAGGCTCCGGCGCG